GTAGTTTTTCATCTCAACATCTAACTCGTGTTAACCTCCCGACCCTTAGGCCATCTGCTGGGCTCTCTCTGAATGTTTTGTACACTCGCCGGCTCAGTTGAGCTCCTGTAGATGTGGGAGTGCCGGAGATGCTCGGGGCAGGTGCTGCCTTTCCTCGCTCACTCCGAAGCCAGGTCTGTGTTCCCAACTCGACTTGGAGAGAAGCTGTAGGATTTGCAGTTTAGCCGCTCGCTCTTGCCCGCGGGGACAGCGGATGACCTTGACCCTGATGGTCTAAGCAGCAGTGGCAGGTGGTGGACACCTGGTAAACACCCCGTGTCTGTCTCAGACAGAAAAGCAGAGACCAGTGCTGGCCTTGCACAACCATGCTGTTTTGGAGGATCTGGCTAGGCATGTTTGGTGAAGTCCGGGCCGGGGCGCGGGCGAGCTGGGTCATGTCCTGAACAGTGTCCTCGGGTCTATTTTATGACGCGTCCAGGAGCCCCATTACCCTGGCACGTCCCTCACGCAGAGCAGGAGGTCGGACAGGATGGCCAGTGATCTGAAGGCAGTGGGTGGCATCTCTGTCCCCAGTGCGCTCCTGGGAGTCCACCCTGAAGTGTGAGCTGTGGCAGAGGGCAGAGGTGCCTTGGGATAACCTCAAAGTCATGTGGCCAGGTAGCAGTGGCGTCCGTATTGTGAGGACAGCCTGCATGCAGCAAGAAGTCAAGGTGTGGATGGAGCTTTTATCCCAGTTGCTTAGTGCAGTTCTGAAGTGTAGAGATGCATTTAGGGGCCCACACTGGAGCCTGTCCATGTTAGTACCCCAGACTGAAAAGCAGTGTGCCAGATGACGTTTACACAGATCCTGTCTTAGGTGCAGCTCCCAGGACAGACAGTCAAATGGCATTTGACTTGCACAGCATGCACTGCGGGGCCCTGGTTCTCGGCTCAGAAGCCCAAGACTGAGGTGCTGCCTGCCCTGTGTGGCCCCTTCCCCTTCCCAGTGCAGGCGCCTCGCTGTGTCCTTACAGGTGGGGCCGGGAGGAGAGGGCGGGTGCTGGGCTTCTCCTCATGGGATGAGTCCATTGAGGGAGGGGAGCAGTGTCCAGCCTTGCCCATCTCCATTTCCAAGCCTCGGTTTCATCATCCTTAAAAATAGAAATAATGAGACCTTCTGAGCTGATAGTACGAGCGTAACCCTAAAGCGCTGGGACGTAGGTCTAATTACTGTTAACATCAGCTATTTCCGAGATGTCCAGGAGTGTGTTTGCATGTGAGGTGGGGGTGGGCTTTTCTGTTTCTGGGGACCGAGCTTCGGAGCCCAGGGCAACAGCGTGGCTCTTAGACCCGCCTTCACCCCACCCACGCCTGCTTCCTGTGCAGCACCTCCAGCCAGCTGCTGCTCCTGTCCTTCCGGTGGGCCTCTGCCCCTCTTTCCCGGAAATCTGTCTCCGATTTCTCTGAAATCTCCACTCTCGGTATCCTTCTCCCCAGCTCACATTTTTTCTTCATCAATCCCCGTAACATGGCTTACAGTGCATCTTAATCACATTTCCCTCGCTGCTGAGAAGATACCGACAACCAAAGTTAAGGGAAGAAAGGTTTATTTGGCTCACAGTTTGTAGAGGCTTCAGTCCATAGTTGTTGGCTCCAAGGTGGGTGGCATGGCCAAGGGGCGTCTCAGAGGAGAAACTGATCATGGCAGGCAGGCCTGTGAGAACAAGCAGGCAAAGGCAAGACAGGCCTGTCGGTCCCTTACATTGTATCCAGGCTTCTGGGAGTAAGGCGGTGCCAAACCAATCAGCGGGCTGATTTAGTGACCACCCACCCTTGATCCCAGCACCCTAATCCTAGCGCTGCTGCATGAATCAGTCACTGTAGATCCTGCCACCTTGAAAAGCCCCAGTTGTGACCACATGAGGCTTTGAGGGGACATCGAGACACAGCCACAACACGGTGTGTGTTACTTGGCTGTAGTTTTTTTTGGTACCGGGGATGGAACTCGGGTCCTTGCGCTTGTGCAGCAGGCGGCAAAACCACTGAGCTTGCCGGGGATTTAGCTCAGTGGTTCCGCTGCCTGCTGCGCAAGTGCAAGGACCGGACCCGAGTTCCATCTCCGGTACCAAAAACCACAGAGCTAAATCCCCGGCCCTTTTGCTGTAGTTTTACTCTGCTTCAGAAGCTGGCATCTTCACAGGGTGCTCCCTAAAGGGGCCTGGGCTGGTGGCCGTGTGAGCTGTGCTGCTGGTGCGGGGTCCAGCCCCCAGCGCTCTGGCCAGGCCACACTGCCTGGTGCTGGGCGTCTGGGATGACGCCGAGGGTCAGGCTCTGCCGGCAAACAGGAACCTGTTCCACACCCCAGCGGTGCCGTCCTTGGGTGCCGGCCCCTGCAGCAGGTCCCCGTGCCGTCCCAGTCCCTGGGTGCAGTCCTCGCTCAGGCCTCGGCCTCTCTGTCCTTGTTTTCCCAGCCTCCACTCGGGAGCAGAATGGTTTTAGGTCAGCCAGGGGAACCAGTTCTCTGACAGCCTGTGTTTTTCTGCATTTAGCAACCAGCATCTACACAGTAGATCTTCATGTGTCGCAGCAGATCCCTTAACTATGGTAATTAAAATCGTCTTGAATAGCTGTTGTCCCACTTAATTACAGATTTTATGCTCGAGTCGATGCAGGCTTGTTACACACTGATGTTTAGATGACTTGTTTATGGCTGAATGTAGATGCTCAAAAGTTATTGTTTTGGGTTTCTTTTAAGAAAAGATCTGTATAATTATGATTTTTATATCTTGTGATGAAATTGCTTACCATTGCCATCACTGTCAGGCTCTGTGACGTGAGGCTGCCGGCCGTGAGCTTGAGGTTCTTGTGCTGTGAGGTGGAGGCTGGGGGTGGGGAGTGTATGGAGCTCAGAGCTGCTCCTCAACGGCTGAGGCTGCAGTGTGGCCCAAGGGCTGGTGAAAGGCAGGGAGGTGGATGGACTGCGTGAGGCTGCATTTTATTTTACATGTTTTTGGAGACGCTCGTAACATAATGAAACTCTAATCCCAGAGGTAGGAACAAAGAAGCTGCGCGTTCCCTTTTCCTCTAAGTGAAGTCGAAGCTACTCGATGCTCATGTGCAGGTGAGCATAGGACAAGACGCTCCGCCTTGCTGGCCACTAGGGAAATGCAGATTCAAACCAGAACCACATCTGTCACTGTGGCTAACATAAAAAGCAGTGACCATGCCGTGTGCTCAGGATGCCACACCACTGGCCGTCCCATTCCCTGGCAGGGATGCAAAATGGCACAGCAGTTCTGGGAAACATCCTGGCAGGGTCCGTTCCTGTGCAGCCCAGCAGTTAGGCATTGTCCCAATGCAGTGAAAGCTCATTTTCACACACAAACCTGTATGTGGGTTTCTCGAATTGTAGCTTTATTTGTAATTGCCAGGAACTGGAATTCCTTAGCTGTTCCTTACCTGGAGAGTCATTAAACATACCGTGGAATACTACACAGCAGTGAAAAGCATCTTGCGGGCTATTAGTACCCACGGTAATTCACACGAGAGATACGCTTAGGGAGAAAGGCAGTCTCAGAGACTATACACTGCATTGCAGAGGAAAGTCGGGGTGACCACAGAGGGGCTGCATTTCCAGATCCTTACTACATAGGAGACACGGTGCATGAGAACTGTGAGTCTACAGAGATCGCAGAACAGAAAGGCCAGTTCTTAAAAGTACAGTGAAATGTTACATGAATATTCTGATGAAATGCTCCTTGCTCCCCAAGTGTGGGGATTTTTCAGTTTCTTATTGGTGGTTCATTTGATACTCTTTTATTCATTCAAGAAATAATGGGTGTATGATATGTGCTCAATCTGGCCTTGCAAATCAGTTCTAACACCAAAGAGGTCCCCAGCTTATAACTGTTTGTAACTGCAACAAGAAGGTTGCTACCTGCTTTATTTTGGAGTTGTAGGGTTTGCTGCTGGTGTGCACTGCTCAGAGCCGCTCTTCTGGGGTGACAGGCTTCTCCCCGGTGAGCGGACGCAGCTGTGCCTGGTGCCGGCTGCTCCACAGCTCGGTGGGAGTGGCGCAGTTGCCCCCTGGAGCAGGGAGGTGAGGGTCCCTCTCCCCCCATGGCGTTCCTCCCTGGGTTCCCTGTGGCGCCCTGGCAACAGAGTGCTCTCTGGACCCCCTTAGGGCACGGAACTCTGGCGGAGAGAGTGGGTGCAGTTGGGGAGGTCTGGGCTGCAGGGCATGCTCCCGAGCCTCCCTGGGTTCTCTCCGGCCTTGCACTGGGCCGGTGTCTAACAGTAAAAGTGCTGGTGAGCTGGTCGCCCAACACGACACCTGAGCCCCTTAGGACTGCGGGGTTTGTCTGGTGTGGTTTTGGTTTTCTCCACAGGAGAACTGGGGTCGGGCAGGCAAAGCCAGCGGTAGCTATAGCTCCCCGCCTCCGACCCTTTCTGGAAGACCCTGCAGACCTCTGGGCATCCTGCCAGGAACCTGCCTCAGAAAGGCTTAACCCTGTGCTGTGCTTAGAACCTCATGGGACATGAGTGCGTTCTAGCAAGCTGTGCCCAGCGTGGCTGGGCCTTTCCCTCTGCAGAGTTGTGAATGAGTGAAGCCAGGCCCACCAACCTGAGCGGGGAGCTGCTGCTACTCCTGCGCCGCCAGCGGCGTTCTCTGCCTTGCTGCGGCTGAGCAGTGACCTTCCCTCATTTCCCTGCTGCGGCCAGTGTTGTCCCGTGGCTCCGTGCAGGTCCTGAGCTCGGGGCCTGGGTGTTCCTGACCGCAGTGGCCCTACCCTCGGGGGTGGAAGAGGAAAGGAAGCCAGGCCAGCTCGGGGAGCAGGCTGGGGCGACGGAGGGGGTGTCCCTGGGGGGATGTGTGGCGGGAGACAGCTGGCTCACCTGCGTGAGGTCATCGTCAGGGAAACCTCGTGTGCACGGAGGAGTTTTAGCCACTGCTGAGACTGTCTGACGTGAGCTCCTCAGCATCCATGCTGGCCTCTCACCTGGTGGTTTTCTTCTTGCAGTCTCAGACCATGAATTACGTGGGCCAGCTGGCCGGGCAGGTGCTCGTCACCGTGAAGGAGCTGTACAAGGGCATCAACCAGGCCACCCTGTCGGGCTGCATCGATGTGGTGGTGGTGCGGCAGCAGGATGGCACCTACCAGTGCTCGCCCTTCCACGTGCGCTTTGGAAAGCTGGGCGTCCTGCGCTCCAAGGAGAAAGTGGTGAGTGGTGTTCACAGATCTGCAGCCAGACATCCCGGGGCTCCCAAAGCTGCCTCTGCATTCCCAAGGCACCCTGCCAGGGAAAAGCAGCCGAAAATTCCGACAGCCGGACACCCGGGTGCATTCAGACTCAGGAAGGCAAGAGAGGAAAGACTGTAAACGAGGAAGGAGGGAGGGAGGGAGGCAGGCAGGCAGGCAGGCAGGCAGGCAGGCAGGCAGGCAGGCATAGGTAGAAAAAGATCAAAATGCCTTCCTATGATTGTGGATAAAATGGGTGGATGTACTTGAGAGTGTTTTGTTGTTTGTTTAAAAGAAACCTGTAATGTCATTGTACTCTAAATCTGCCCATTGCTGCACCCAGACCTGTCCCCAGTCTGCCTGAATGCCGGCTCCCAGACCGCAGGCCTAGCTTGCCTTCCATGCATTGCACTTAGGAGTCGTTTGGAAGGAAGGCATCTGTTGGCATCGCTTATTTATATATCCTTTTCCCTGGGCTTAGGGAGCAATGCAGAGTTCGCCTGTGTCAGATCTCAGTCGAGGTTAAAACCTGTGGGGTGCACGGTATCCCCTCCCTGCTCTCGGCCCATGGGCTCAGCCTCAGTGAGGTGGGGAGGGTCTTTCCAGAGCAGAGCCCTGGCCTGGAAGTGAGCATCTGTTTTCAGCTTTTGATTATTTTATGTAGTAGATCTTACTCTAATACAGATTCTCTTTTCTTTAAGTAAACTTATGTTACTGTGAGAGTGAAAGGAAATGGGTCTTATAAAGCTAGATTTCTTTTCTTTTTCCTCCTGGAATAACGTCTCATTTTTCCAGGCATTACAGAGTCACTGTGGACAGGAGAAGCGTGTTTCAGGGCGGCAAGGTTTGTGGTCTGGCCTCTGCTTGTAGTGACCCCAGAGAGCAAGAGTAGTGCTGTGTAGGCAGTGGGGACCTGTCCTCGACCTTTCCTTCTGATGGGCGCACTCGAGCAGCTTTCGGACTGGACTGGTCTGTTGGGTCAGCCACACCCTGTGTGCCCCAAGGCGTCCCCTTCCCAGTGCTTGGCTGCTTGTAAACTACTTCTCAGGCTCCTTTCTTTTTCTCCTGGGGAGCTGAGTGTCCTGCAGCCTGGATCAGTCCCCAGCCCTTGGGGGGCCCCCTAGGTGGTACATGCAGCCCTTGGGCATCTGTGAATGGAGCAGCGAGCAGAGCAGGGTGCACCTGGCCTGAGCTGCAGCCCTTTCTGCTCGAGGCCGTAGGGCTCAGTGTGTTCAGCCTCTTGTCAGAGCCTTGCGTTTTAACAGGAATGTCATCTAGGAGGCAAAGGACAAAAGAAAACTTCTTTCCCATTCCCTCCTTTGCTTTCCCAGAAACCCTGAGGGTGTTGGGGAAGGAACGTGGCTGCTCTGTTGACCGCAGCGCAGCTTTCATGTGACAGGAGACCGAAGCCATGCCAGCCCTCAGGTGTCCCAGCAGATATAAGCAGTTTAGGCAAGGGAAGGCTGTTTGCTGATTTAAACTAAGACCCTAGATTTTCCAGTGTGGTGACACCCGTGAAGTGGACTGGAAATCCCGGGCCCCTCTGAGCCCAGGTTTGGATGGCGTGGTACCATCATCGTTGTGCCTTAGCCATGTGTGCGTGTCTGGTGAACATAGTGTTCCCAGGGTGTCTGATGATCCACAAGTTTTGTTTTTTTTTTTTTTGGTACCAGGGATCAAACTCAGGCCCTTGGGCTTGCCAGGTATGCGGTGGAACCACTAAGCTAAATCCCTGGCACCCACCAGTTAATTCAGAGAGGAAGCAGACTCGATACTTCAAATATTAATTTTGTTGACTTACCACAAAACTGATGACTTGATTCTTAAAGTGAGATCGCCCGGTGTGTTGAGCCATTTCCATTGGGAGTACAGCAGTCCCGCTCCTGCCAGCTGAGGCAGAAGGTCATCAGTGAGTACCCGAGTCAGGGCCTTGGCCCCGCTAGAGTTCTCCTCGGGCCTCCCTCAAAGCGACCCTGGCCTGCACTTCTGGCACAGTCAGGAGTTTCAGTCCCAGAAGCACCCGAAGGCTGACTGGGAAGTGGGTAGGGCTCATGTGTGTGCTAGAGAACATTACTTATGCGGCCATCTCTTTTAAAAAGTATAAGGCAAATGTGTTTTGTGTGAAATCATTTTATTAACATTTCTTAAATTACATAGGATTTCTTTATTCAATATTCTATATTTGTTGCCCGTTTCCCATAATATTTATCCTTTTTAGATTTATTGTTTTATAATTAACATTCAAATAAACTCCACATATTTGAAGAACAATTTGATAATTTTTAACACTTTTTTGTACCCAACCACAATCAAGATATTTGTGCCATCAGCATAGCTGAGATAAGTAACATTTCATTGTCCTGACCTTGTAGTCCCCTCCAGTCTGTGATAGTTCCTCGGTCTTGTTTTGCATGGCATCTGTTTACTTCCTACCTCTCTCACCTCACTTCCTCCTCTAATGTGAACATTTATGTGACCACCATACAATCACCAAAACTGGAAATGAGCCCCAGTGCAGTCTGTTAACAGACCCAGTCCGGCTGTCGCCAGGTTTCCACGAGCGCTGCTTTCTGTGCTAGCTGTGTCCCTGTTGCTGCTGCCCTGCCTGCTCCTGCAGGTCCTCAGCTTCCCCTGTGGCCCTGGCTGCTAAGGCACACGGAACAGTCCACAGGCTGCCCCTGTTGAGTTTGCCGTCTCCTCCCCGGGGGCCGGAAGCTCCCTGACGCTGGTGACGCCGTCTGTGCCTGCTGGGGCAGAGCGGCAGGGGCCCACATGTTGCTGATCCGAGCTGCTGATGCTCACTCTGGTCACTGGGTTCATGGCGTCCACTAGGCTGCTCCACACAGGCTACCAGGGCAAGGCTGAGCTTGCTCTTTATTAAGATTACTGCAGATGTGTTGCTGAGTGGGGATTATTTTTATTTCCATCATTCCTACTCTGCTTGTTAATTGTAATTCTGTGATGAAGAGCTACCCCTGCTCTCCTACTTCCTTATTTCAGTTCTTGCTATCAGTATGAGTTCATGGCCATTAATGAGTTTTCCCTTATGCCTTATTATAATTACATAGCTCCTTCAAGCTGAGTCCATTCTGAAACGCTTCCATCAGCTGTAGGGCCCTTCCCTACCTTTTGGTGGCCGTAAGGTAGTCCAGTGAAATCCGCTTTCTCTGCCTGAGCCTGGAATCACTTCACTTCTCCAAAGGGCCCGGCTCCTTAGTTTGAAGAGTCGCTGTAGATGAAGATCTGGCCACAGGGTGTGCTCCTTGCTGCTGAGCTGTCGTTGCTTGAGGCTCTCTCAGCCTCAGTGCAGGAAATGCCTTTATGCCCCTGCGTGCATGTCCGGGTGTGCGTCTCCCATGCCTGGGGCTCACAGAGCCCCTCTGTCCTAGGTGTCACCACGGGCTCTCATTTCCCCTTTGCCTTCTTGGGACCTTCCTGCTGACAGAGGGAAACCTGGTTCCGGTTAGCTGCTTTGCTTGGTTCTGCAGAACACATAGGATAGCTCCCAAATCGATGCCCTGCATTCTGTCCCTAAGAGGCGCTCACTCCCTTGCAGAGTTGTGTTCAGACGCACTCCGGGTGAGTCTGAAGACCCCCTGGCACGGCGCTCTCCTGGCCGCACGCCTCGCCTCCGCAGTGGCTGGCAGCACAGTCATGGTTTCCACACAGAGCTCCTCACTCTGTACCTGCTAGGTCTGACCTGAATTTTACTTGTAGTGCCATGGGTTTGTATTTCCTAGCTGCACGTTCATCTTGGCCAGTTCCTCTTCCAGTGCTGTGTTTTATAAAATGCTGCGCGGGTTGTCTCTGGGAGGCGAGGAGGACGCGCCGATTCCCTGGCCTGGCGAGGGATGCTCGGTGCCTGGTCCCTGGCAGACCGGGGAGAGCAGTGGTTGCTCACGGACCAGTGGTTGCTGACTGACACTGAGCTCTGTGGACAGAGGGCCAGCAGGGACGTAGACACGGCTCACATGGACACGGGGTCGTTAGGCAGAGCATGTCGGAGCCGCGGGGAAGCCGCCCGCGCAGAACGCAGCACACACTCTGTGGTGGGCAGTGGGTGCCCATTTTACGACATTGGGGAGAGTAAGCAACTGTTTTGAGTACGGGGTAAAAACGCAGTGAAATGTCTCTGACTTGAACCTCATCCACTGCCCCCTGCCCAGATCTGCGTGTTTCAGGGCTGGGGCATTGGCCTGTGGCCATGTTTCTCTCAAGCTGGAATGAAGGGCTCTTCACGTGCTAAGCCACATTCTGTCTCACCCTTAGATTGACATAGAAATCAATGGCAGCGCGGTGGATCTTCACATGAAATTGGGTGACAATGGAGAAGCCTTCTTCGTGGAGGAGACGGAAGAGGAATATGTAAGTTCTCGAGGTCTCGGCCACACTGCACGCTGTTCCCGGGCCTCTGGGACATGCCCGACACAGGGGTGCTTAGCACTGCTGTCATGCCTGGTTGTAGAAATGATTGTTGCCGGCCCAACAGGCTCTAGTTTTATGTGAGCTAAGCTGTCACAAAGGAGCTGGGGGTGAGAAACCTTCACGCCAGCTGCAGGGCCTGGACACAGGCAGAAAGCCTCAGGCTTGCGGCCTCCACAGGGAGGTGCAGCTCCTTCTAACCTGGGTGCTACCTTGACTATTCATTGAATTCTGCCTAAGTAATCAAGGCATATTTCTTCAGGCTGTTTGACCACTAAACTTGAAGAGTATGCTTATCATTTTGGTTGGGAAAATTATATTCGTAACCTTGAATGGTCTGAATTTATTATGATCGCAAGAGATTTAAATTTTTGGCCTGTGTCCTTTTATAAATGATTACATTTGGCTTCTTTCAGTAAGAAAGTATAATTGGCCGCCCCTGCCCACCCCACCTGTGTGTATCTACTAATGTGAGCAGGGTGAATCCCTCTTGAATGTATTTACTGTGGGCCTTATTCACATATGTAGAGGGCAGCTTTCTGTCTTTCTCCATAAAGGGTAAAATCTCCACCAGCCAAAAGGATAAGCTCTGAGTGTTGAGGATACAGGAGTACTTTTTTGGTTTTGCCAATATGGTGTTATTGCAAAGAAAAATATCTCCAAAAAATAAACAATGCGAAATGGCTTATGTTTACTGTGCTTTAGTTAAGAGAAAGCCAACAGCCCAGGCCCAGTTTGAGGAGCAGAGTGAGGCAGTGTGCCTCCCAAGGGCACCTTGCCACACTGTGTTCCTGGCCGGCCTCTCTTGCTTGTTCTGTGTTACTTTGCTTACATTTACTTGATCTAAGCAGGGCTCTCCTTCCTCAGAGACAGGCAAAGAGCAGAATGAAGCGTGATTAATGACAGTTGTCACAAGAGTGAAACACTTTTGACGTGTTTCTTTAACTCCCGTCTACTCCGCATCCCTGACTATCATTAGCTGGCGCGCAGTGAGTGAGGTGCTGGCTTCCGTCGGCCCTACCTGGCTCAGGTGTGGCTCCGGGCTCCGTGAGACTGGGCTGGATGTGATCAGCTCGGAGAAGCCTGCTTCCAGCCTCTTCTGTTCCACGCGTGGCCACACTGAGCAGGTCTTCTGTAGTGTGCAGTGTGTTTCTCTTTAAAGTAAAAAACCTCTTCATCCACTGGTTACTTCTGTGCCACACACTGAATGAAACAGCCTCTGCTTCCCAGGAGCTCCTGATGTAGAGAGGAATACAAACTACCAAAAGCTCCAGTGGCTGCCATTTATTTAGTTTTTGGTTCCCTCGCTTACGTGTCACCTACGTCCCTTTTGAGCCAGTAGTTCTAGATCTGGCTCTCTCATTGCCACAGGGTTCCATGCTAGGAAGTTGGCAATTCATTTAGCCATTATCTAGGTGGACATTCAGATTGTTTCTGTCCCCCAGGTATTGCTGTAGTAAAGCTAGGAAGCAATACCATAAAACAACTTTCAAGAAGGCCAAGCAAACTGTAACAGAGATCTTTAAGTCCAATCCCCAGAAACAGAGCACGGCCTCCCTCTGGGGGTACAGAATATATTCGTGGGGTTTCTCCGTGCTGGTGTTGAGTGTACATTTCGTCTAGGTGAACAGCTCCCAGCTTCAGGGAATATGTTTACCAAGGCCAAGTTCAGAAGCTTAAAATAATTCTGGAAAGCCACACGTTTTCAGGATGTAAAAGCTTGAGTATTGTGAATTACCTGCGGTCCATTTGTATCTTTTACCTAAGCTTCCATTTGCCCCGGGTGATACAGAGGGATGGGACAAATGGCTAGGAAGCAATTGAGTGGCTGCCAGACTCCACCACTTATCCTGTGTTTAGCCAGGAGTGTAATTGCTCCTGAATATAGGCCCAATTTAGCATTCTTAAGGATCTTTAGCTTTCCGGTTCACTGGTTCTCTTGCTACAAGGTCTTGCCTCCATCTCCCGCTCCGCTGTCGGGCAGTGCAGTGACTGGTGTCAGCCGCTGCTCTAACCCCTGCGTCCTCACCTCCCTTGCCTGTCCTGCTACTCCCAACAGGTGTCCCCTTCATCTTGTGAGCTCTGCCAGCATCCTTTGCAGCTCCTCAGCACTGCCTCTGCGGGCGCCCGAGGCATAGGACCCAGTCGGCTCTGCTTTGCCCTTGAGTCAGTGTTCTGTGGGCAGTGGTGCTTGGGTCCTCCTGGGGCCTAGCCACATTCAGAAAGAGCTGCCACTGGGCTGTGTGTAGTGGGCTCAGGGTGGCCTCCTGCCTGCCCCAGGGACAAGCGCACCGTGCCCTCTACTGTGGAATTAAGTAAGTACAGCTTTGAACAGCACTGAGTGTGTCAGGAGTAACTTTGCTCTCTCTGTGACTCTAAGGAAAAGCTGCCTGCTTACCTGGCCACCTCCCCAATTCCCACGGAAGACCAGTTCTTTAAGGATATTGATGCCCCTGTGGGGAAATCAGGAGGAGACGCAAGACCGCCCCAGAGTCCAGGCGTCTCGCACGTCCTGGAAATGGAGACAGTGTTTGCTCCAAGTGCTGTGAAAAAGAAAAAGCGGAGGAGGAAGAAGTGCAAGCAGGAGGTCAAGAAGGAGGAGCCGGCGGCCTCGCCTACTGCAGAGGGTGCGCGCGATGTGCCTGTGAGCTCCGACGACGAGCAGGCGGCCCAGGCGGCCAGGTAGGCGGGGTGGGCGGGCTCAGGGGCAGCCACACCTCCGTGCTGTGGGGTGCCACTGCACTCGAACCCAGTTCCTGCAGTTTCATTGTGCACACAAGTGGGAGAGGCATTTTTTCCATTCTGCAACCCTTCAGGCTTTGCCATTGGGCCTCCTGCCCTGACCCCGAAGCGTCATTTGCAGCAGGCTGGTGGGGCCTCTTCAGGCCAGGGGAAGGCCAGCCTAATGCCCTGCCCTGGAACAGGTGCCCACCTGGCCCTGAGAAGCTGAAATTGTGTTTTGTTTGAGCCTATCATCCAGGCCGCCTCGTAAGTTGAGGAGGAAGGAGTTTGCTGTTTCTTTCTTTTTTTTTTTTTGTGGTACCGGGATCGAACTCAGGACCTCGTGCTTGCAAGGCAAGAGGCGTCACCACTGAGCTAAGTCCCTGGCCTCCTGTTTCCTTTTTGAGTGTGAGCTCTGGAGCAGTTATTTAGCAGCCTAGTGGACCAGCCCAGACCACAGCCCCATTGCCGCCTGCATCCCTGCGACTGCACAGTGGTGGCAGGGGTGGGACACGCACTTCCCACTCGGCCACTCGCCCCGACCCCACCCATCCTGTGCGGCTCCCCGGCTCTGGGAGGGCCGTCCCCACGGCGTGGGCTTCCCCGGCTGCAGGCAGCCATGGGCCTTCCTCTGCTGGGGTGGGGACCCTGGGAATGAGGCTGGTCCGCTGTGTTTCAGCTCAGCCCCTGAAGACTTGCCCGCACCGCACCTCCTGGGCAAGCCGTGCCTGCCTGTTTTCAGCAGAGGAGGAGATGGCATTCGCTAGTTACAGAAACCAAACCGTGCAGCGTGGACTCTGCCTTGGCCCAGGTGCTCACTGCTGAGCTTTTGTTTTCATAGTTCAGTCAACAGAAGACTACAGCGCATGTAGAAGCAGTGTACGGTAACTGCATCAGTGAGCAACACGGATAATTCCTGCTTGGCAGGACTGTTCGCTCACCTTCTAAAGTCTTGGAGTCTGGGTGGTGAACCCTGGAATAATGCCCTATAATTGATAGTAATTTTTAAGTATATGGAAATTTTTCTACTTGTCCTCTTATACCTGTTGTATGAGATACTCTTTTTACACTCTTCCCACACTGAGTACATTGGGTTTTCTTAGTTTTGATAGAGTACAGAATCCCTATCAGAACTAAACAATTAAAAATGGAAAGAAATAGTGAAAGTTCTTCAGGCTTCATAATGTTTTTGCAATTGAAATTCTTTTGAGGACCACTTAAAACAGCACTTGTCCCCAAACTGTGTCAGCATGTGTCCTTGTTAACACAGTAGGGCAGAGTCTAGAACGCCTGAGCAATTTGCAGCTTTAGCTTAGGATGTTAAACCATTTCTAAGACATAGGCAGAGTTCCTGCAGAAGTCAGTGTTCTCAATGTTCTCAGTTTTGAAGTGGGAAATGTAAGCAACTGCGTGGCAGAAATATCAGTGCCTGCCGGGCCTTTGGGAGCCATAGAGAAGGCTGTGTTGCCTAAATCTGTCACCGGCTGGGAACAGGGCCCGAGATGTCCCGAGCCAGCTCCTGGCTCCCTGAGTCACAGCCCTGTCCCTGTTCCGACACAGTCAGCGGGGCCTGGGACGGCTCCAGGAGTGCAGCGGGCTGCCTTGTAGATGGTGTCACCTGGAGGAACTCTGTCTGAAATTTGCTTTTAAAAATGTGCTTAATTACACAGCCAACAGAAATGAGGACTTTTAAGACAAAGGACAGCAGAATGTGCCCAGTCACAGCGCCCAGGCTCGTGGTGACGTAAGCGCCTGAGCCTGCTAGATTCTGAGTGCAGCAGTGGTGCTGCTTATCAGGCCGGCCCAGGCCCGGCCGTGGTCGGCAGCTGGCTCCTGGAGCCCTGTGGGCGGGGGTCCCCTGCCCTGCCCCCTTCGCCGCCCACACAGCAGCCTCCCACCGCCCGTCGGGAGGAGCCGCTTCTGCAGAGAGGGTCCAGATGCAGACTCACTGTGAGCCCCAGGGAAACTCCAGCCAGTGCAGGGCCCCAGTTGCTGATGAGCACTGAGCATGCAGTGAGTCTTCGATCCTCGGTCATAGTGCACAGCGGTCCCGCTTACCTCTTGCTGCCAGTCAAGGAGTTTCAAGCCTGCTCAGTTAGCACCGTAATTCACCCCACATACACAGTGCAGGCTGTTAGTGCAGGCCGTTGTCTTGCTTCCTGTTGATTCTCTCCCACTTGGGAGAATGTGGAGCATAATTTACACATGGGTGTGCACAGATCTTAGGGTGCAGGTCAGAGCATAGGCAGCCACTGCGGCATTTGGATTGGGCGGCTGTCGGCCGCATGAGGAGCCAGGCCAGGGGACCCCGGGAGGCCGCAGCCCTGACCAGACGTGCACTCCCTCTCTGCTGGGGCTGCCCACCTCGCACATCTGCACAGCGGGGCCTCACCTGCTCTGACTCTCGGGTCCTGTCCTCAGTCTAAGGTGCGCTGTCAGGACCTCCTTGCTGCTCCTCTTCTCAATGCGTTGCCATTTTGAGAGTGCTTCTCAGCTCTTGAGAAATGCTATTGAAATAAAGAACTGTAGACTGAAAGGAGCCTCGGTATGGAAACGTTTCCTCACCGCAGTGAGCCTGGACTTAGCCGGGGTCCATCAGCTCGAGCCCGGAAGCAGCCAGGCCGCGGCTTCCTGGGCCTGTGAGCTCAGGTACCGGAGCTCGGCCTTTCAGCATTTTACTCAATCCCATTTGTTTTGCTGAACTCGGCGTGGCCTCTTGTACTGTTGTGGAGTACGTTCAGGAAGGGCAGGGCTTTGCCCTTTTGCTTTCTGAGGCAAGGTTCCTCTGTATCGTCCAGGCCTTCCTCGAACTCATGGCCCTCCCACCTCGGTTACAGTGCAGGGTACAGGTGTGTGCCACTTCACCTCCTGACTCCCCTCTGCAGAGGGAAGTTTACCGTTTGATTTTCCTTTGTTATTTTTTCCCCTTGAATAAGTTTCTCAGAGTAGTCCTCTGGAAGAAAGATTAGAATTAGGAAAACCTTAAATTTAAAAATGCAGGGCCGGGGATTTAGCTCAGTGGTTTCATCGCCTGCTGCACAAGCGCAAGGACCTGAGTTCAATCCCTGGTACCAAAAAAAAAAAAAGAAACAAAGGCAGGAAAATAATACTAAAAATATAAACTGGCTTCTATCCTTATTGGAGCAAACCAAGTACATGAATGTTTACCAGAGACCCCCGCAGTTAGGTTCCAGTATCCCACCCAGTAAACGACGCAGGCCTGAGAAATAACTAAAAGACAACTAGGCGAGAAAGCGGGGTGCTAGGATAACCAGTGCCAACAAAGGCCCGGCCAGTCCAGGCACTGACTTTTATTGGCAATCAATTGGGGTAAAGGCGAGCTACGTGCCAGGGCAGGGCTACATGCAGTTTCTGTAGAAATTAATGTAAGCAAGGCTCAGAAAGGACAAGGCAAAGCATTCTGGAGTTAAGAACAGAATAGACAAATACATGGTTGTAATTGGAACAGTGTCCTTCTAGTCAGGAGGTTTTAGTTGTGGGAGTGGAATTTTGGGTGAGGTTAACGCTTCACAGCCTGCTTTGGGCATCATCAGTATTACTGTCCTCTGCAGATGTTCTCACTTTACATTTTGTATCTACTGCATCAGAACATTGTTCTATACGAAGCTCCTACACTTATAGAATTTGGTACTTTATTCTTCTAAGAAATTTCAACATGTTGCACCACATAAATCTTACCTCAACTCTGAAGTAGATGTGACAAGTGATAAATTTCCAACTATAAGTGAAAACTAGGCCCACAGTGCACTAGCTTTTTGACTTCGGGCAACTTACTAAACATCTCAGGATCCTCGATTGCCCAGTATCTAAGATGGGATATTACTGCAGGAACATCCCTTCCCCAAAGTTTCAGCAGTTCTAGCATTTCTTAAAAGTCCTCATCAAACTTCTTCTGAGACTCACAGCAGACTCGTAGCTGTGAACCTCTGTAAAAATAAAAAACAAGTTACTCAGTCCTAGTGTACAGTGGCACAGGGAAACATCCCCATTCTGAAAGGGAGGAATAGGGGGATGGAATAGGACTAGCATAAGACCAGAACCCAGCAGGGCAAACACTAAGTCCTGTAGCTCCATATCTAGTATGTGGGGCACATGGTGGTGAGGGATGAGTTTCAGGGGGCTGCAGTGCCCCCACCCCTGTGGTCTTGTAGTTGCAAGCCTCATGGGCTGGCTTCACTCAGGGCCTGCAGCTTTCCTCAGTCTATATTCCTGGCATCTCTGATTTTTGGGGGGTCTCCAGCACATCTTCAGCTGCTCCTTGCCTGGCCTCCCATGCATTCCTTTGAAATCTCAGTGGAGGCCTCCATGACCCTACAACTCTTGCGTTCTGCATGCTGGTAAAATTGGCACCACATGGATGGAGCTGAGTCTGTTGTCAGAGGAAGCAGTAGCCAGGCCCCTGGACCACGGCCACAGCAGCCTCCATGTGTGTGAATGGCTGGGCACAACACAATGAGTGCCAGGGAGCTGATTCCCTAGGAAGAGCTTTCCGAGCAGGGCACCTTCTCCAGTGGAAGGTGTAGACTTTTGCACCCTTGAGCCTGTGATGGATGGGATCTTGCTGATTGTTGAGAACATCTCAAGGCATCTTTCTTCTTGTCCCTGTAGAAATCACTTGGTTTCTTTTAATGGCAGTCATCTCTTCAGGAGCTACACCTCCATTGGCCCCAACTTATACATAGTTCCCTTGGGGCCCAAATTTTTTTCCATTTTGCTGCTCTGCTTTTTACCCCCTGTTCTCACTATAAATCTGCTTCTTTGTTTTTAAAGCAACCAGCATTACCCATGCCATAGCAAACACTGAGCTGCCTGGAAATTCTATCAGATCAATTTATCTGCTTTCCTTAATCTCAGACTTCCACAGTTTCTAGACATAAGCAATACGTAGACAAATTTTTTGCCAGAGTAAAACACACATGAGTGTGGTCCAGTTACCAATGAAGTCCTTGCTCCCAACTGAAACTTCCTGAGCCTGGCCTTTACTATCTGCATTCCTGTCAGCATTGTGGTCTTTTCTTTTTTTTTTTTTTTTTTTTTTGGTACTGGGGATTGAACTCGGGTCCTTGCGCTTGCGCAGCAGGTGGAGAAACCACTGAGCTAAATCCCCGGCCCTAGCGTTGTGGTTTTTTGAGCTTTGACCAGAATCTCCCTTCAGTCTCTACTTACTAGCCCACATCTCCAAAGCTTCCCAAACTGGCCTTATAACCTGTTTCTTAAGGCTTCTAAACCACATGGTCAGGTACAGACGTAGCTATGCCTCCATTTCTCACTGGGACACAATATCTGACAGTTTAAAGGAGGAAAGGTTTGATTTAGCTCATGGTTTCAGAGGATTCAGTCCATGGATGGCGTTCTCTAAGGCAGAGCTTCATGGTAGAAGGCTAGAGCAAAGCTGCTCGGTTCATGGCATCTAGGAAGCAGTGCCAGAGAGGAAGGGCCAGGGGCCAGATAGAGTCCCCAAGGGCACACCTCCATGGCCCTCCTAGACACACTGGAAGTGTGCTTTACTGATCCCCATGTGGCTCCCAAGCCAGTTGAGTTGACAGTCAAGCTTAGGTTTGTAGGAACGGAGTGAAAAACACTGACTGTAAGGCTTTGTCTGTAACCCTAAGGGATGTAACAAGGACTCTGGCCCTTTTTATCCCTCTGTCTGTTCCATGGCAGCGGTTTTGCTGGCTGTCACTGGTGAATCCCCCTTTGGAAAGGAGGAGTTAGGAATCATGTGGGGAATGAATCATCTTCATTCTTAGTGTTTAGACAGCTTGTCAGTAGATTTGGGTGCATCTTAAAACTAACATTATGTCATCATTTCTGTCTTTTCCTTTCACAGAGGACCTTCAAGTGCTTCCTTGAAGGAAGAAGAATATAAGGAACCTTTGCTCTTCCGTTCTGGGGATCACTACCCCTTATCTGATGGAGATTGGTCCCCGCTAGAGAAGTATGCATCTTTGGAAGTCCTTGTTTCCCTAAGGGAGAAGGGAGTGTGTGCTCGCTGCTCTGGTATCCCACAGGAGTGGTATTTCCTCTAATCTTGTTCTCCACTTGACCCGACTGACCCTAACAGTGCTGGGGAGCTATAGATCTGGGTAGAATCTGCCGCCCTCTGTCTCTGAATTCTGGCCATTTGTTCTCCAGTGTCAGCTGTGCAGTGGTCACGAGTGGAAAGGCTTGTGGTCTCACTGTTTACTCTTCACCCTGTCTTCATGTGTCAGGTGCTAATGTGCATTTCCCTTCCTACACAACTACCGTTCTCACTGCTCTCCTTTGAGAAGCGAGTGGAATCACGGATGTCCAGTGTTTGGGGGGAAGGGGTAACTGAGGTTCCCTTTAGGAGAACGCGTACGCCTCATCTGTGGGCTCAGGTGGATGGGATCCAGACCTTCCCGTACTGAAGCTGTCCCTGTCTTTGTTGCTGGGTTCCAGTGCCTACCCCCAGGCAGTGTGTCCTAAGAGCGATTCAGAGCTGGAAGTGAAGCCCTCCGAGAGCCTGCTGCGGTCAGAGTCGCACATGGAGTGGACGTGGGGCGGCTTTCCGGAGTCCACCAAGGTAGGGCAGTGCTGGGCCGTCTGCAGAACAGGGTGATAGTAGCGCCCTCGTGTGGCCATAAGTCACCATGATTCACAACCTGTCCACTCTTATTTTGCAAGGGAAGGAATACTGTGTAAGGACATTTTTAAGGCACTTAATGGAAAATAAAATTTCAACACTGATATTTTGCATAGAAAATTGACTTAAAAAGCTTTTTTGCCAGCTCATACTGAAGAAACTGAAAAGATATGTATCTTGAGAAAGACATCTAGATCTACTGTTGAACTTAGTTTTTTAAATATAGACTTTGCTCATGTTTGTGGTTGTGCCTGGACGCTGCAAGGTAGTCAAGCACAGTTGTTTTTACTCGGTACACGCTGTGAGTCTTCTCCCTCCAAATGAACGTCCTTTGCCTCTGAGTATCTGAAACTGTCCTCTTCCACGCAATCTTCTGCACCGTGCAGCACAGCTGTGACCCCAGTGCTCAAAGGCTGACGCAGGAGGATGGCAAATTTCAGGGCAGCCTCAAGACTCAGTCTCAAAAAACAAACCAAAAAAGTAAATGTCAGGCCAGGGATTTAGCTCAGTGGTTCCACTGCCTGTCTTGCAAGCACAAGGACCCAAGTTCAATTCCCAGTACCAAAAAGAAGTAAATGTAACTCTTTCATAAACATGATACTGACCAAATTGCAGTTATTCTGCCACATTTTAATTATGAACTGTTTCACACAAAACAATATGTTTAATAAATATGTTAAGTTATAAATAAAGAGAAGCCAGGCGTGGTGGCACACACCTGTAATCGCAGTGCTTAGGATGGTCAGGCAGGAGGATCACCACGAGTTGAAGGCCAGCCTGGCCACATGGCAAGACTTGTCTCAAAAATATATGTACTATAGGTGTTATGTAAAGAATTAAAGGGCCAGGGATTTAGCTCAGTGGCACCACGCCTGTCTCAAAAGCGCAAGGTCGTGAGTTCAATCCTCATACCAAAAAATATATATATGAATCAAGAATTAGATAGCAAATACCTTTTAAATCAGTTTGGTCTTAAATAGCTCTCCTATCCTAGGTCAGCAAAAGAGAAAGGGCCGACCATCACCCTCGGATGGCCACCATCACCCCGTCTGAAAACACTCACTTCCGGGTCATCCCGAGCGAGGACAGCCTGCTGCGCGGCGAGGCCGAGGAGGGCCCAGTGCTGGCCATCGTGAGGCCCACGCCCAGGGCCCCGTGTGCACTGAGGAACGAGGAGACCGCAGGCCCGGAGCCCCCAGCCGAGCCCCCCGAGCCCCGGCCCTCGGCGGCCAAGGCGGACTCGCCGTCCCGGAGGAGAGGTAACCTGACCGTGGGTCGGAGGGCCAGGGCTCTGCTGTGTCCCCGCCGCCTCGTGACGCCACTTCAAGAGCAGCCGTGGACCCGAGGGTGGGCTCAGCGCCACGAGGGCTTTGTAGCAGCTGTGTTCAGTGCGGAGGCCGAGTCCACCTGGGCGGGTGCTTCAGAGAGCGCTGGCCGGGCTGCGGTGGGCCCGCAGGCTGCGGTGAGCCTTCTGTGCCGCTGTGCTGCCCTGGACACACGTGGTTCGAGGCCACCGCCCCGGACACAGCGCCTCTCGTTTGGGCCACACGTTTAACAAGTGAGAAGCTCTTCCTGCTCAGCAAGGGGAAACTGCTGCGCCATTGGTGCAGGCAGAGCCAGGACAGAGGTGCACTCTGACCCAGGCTGGACCACGCGGCCTGGCCCGGGCGGTGCTCCTGGAGGCGGGCTCCCCAGCCCTGGGCATCGCACTGTGTCCGGTGAGACATGTGCACGCAGAGCCCGGGGAGAGCCGTGTCTGCTGGGGCCGCTCTGTGTTAGTCTGGGGAACACGAGCCCTGCCTCAACGTGGTGCAGCAGCTGAGGGAGAGGGCACCATGGCTCCCTTGCTCTCAGCCTGCTCCCCCAGATTTCTGTCAGGGACGTCTCTGCACACCCAACTCTGCTTCACATGATGGCAGGGATGTGTCCTGAAAGTGTAGTGCTAGGCAGCCCGGTTGTGTGCTCTGGGTAGACCTGGGTGGAGCCAGGTGGATCAGTGAATCCACACAGACGCCTGTCGTCACTGTTGAGTGGGGAGTGCTGCACACATGCACACTTGTGTAGGACTGAGGTAAGGGGTGCTGTTCACCCCAGCACCACGGGCAGGTCTGTGCTGCCCGACGTGTGGCGGGAGCTGCCGCAGCACCAATACCCGGAGCTTCCCAGCGTCCTTGCCAGTGCCTCTGCCGTGGGGCCCGGAGGCCTTGTGCACCGCCCCTCCCCGCCTGTGCATTTTCAGTCCTCTGAAAGCGAGTTGCGCAAGTGTGACATTTCCGAGGCCCGTGCACACTGTGCACACACGCGTCCCTCACGCCCCAGAGTGCGTCTGTGCGGGCCGGGGCTCTGCACAGGGCAGCGAGGGCAGGGGCACTGGCTCCTCGGCTCCACAGCCTCACCCGTGGCTCAGTGCTGGACAGTGAAGAGACACTGAAAGCTCAGGCGATGCCTTAAAAATACAACTTGGTCCGGTCACAGCCACCTCCTTTCTTTACAAACCTGTGTTTTCCTGCGGAGTATACGTTCTGACACCTCACGTGTCCCCTAAAACATGCAGGTGTCCACAAGAGAAGCCAGCACCAGGGGCCCGATGACATCTACCTGGATGACTTGAAGGGGCTGGAGCCCGAGGTGGCTGCCCTCTACTTCCCCAAGAGGTAGCGTGTCCCTGTGTCCTGGGGAGTGGGGTGCGGGGCCGGGAGCCCCTCTGCAGCCGTGATGAGGGAACAGCGACCACACTTACGCCTCGTGACCAGTGCGGCTTCACATCAGCAGCCTTTATGTTCATCCTGCAGGCTGAACGTGTTTTGAAAAGCCCATAGCATCTCTTGTCCATGTTCCGTGCTTTGAGATCCGTCCTTGTTTAACAGTGCCGTCCCAAGAGTGCTCCCCTGGCTGAGACCCAGGCCTGGAGTGTGAGGCCCGTCCTGGCCACCCACCCCTGCCAGGTCACAAGGCCGCCCTGCCTGTCCCTCGGGACCCTCCCTCAGGGTGACTCACTTGGACCCCGAGCGCATCTGAGGAGCCGTCCTGTCCTCCCAAGCTCAGTTCAGCCTCACGGGGACTTCGGGATGTTTTTCTATGGCTGAGAAATTACTCAGCTTACGTTCTCCACAGAAGGGATGACTTGACTGAGCCATGCACTCAAAGATTCCAAATGAAATATGGAAAAACATATTTCATTTTTCACTCACAATAGAGAGATGGGATTGACAGGACCATATTTCAGTTTTTAACATGTTTTGGGGAGCTTCTTACAATTCCTTCCTAGCTATGTACCTTGAATTTGCCTCATAATAGACTAATTTTTTTTTTTTGGTACCGGGGATCGAACTCGGGACCTTACACTTGAGAGGCAGGCGGCCGCACCACTGAGCTAAATCCCTGGCCTGAACTTGCCTCATAATAGATTACATCCTTTGAAGCAGTGGGGTATTTTAAGGTGAGAAACCTTAAACAGTAAGGTTTTTGTAATAGGAAAAATAAAAATAAATAGGAAAAATAAAATGCTCTCTTTCTTGCAAGGCGTTGGTGGCGCACACCTGTAATCCTAGCCCTTGGGAGGCTGACGCAGGAGATCGAGGCCAGCTGGGGCTACGTAGTGAGTTCAAGTCCAGCCTGAACTACCAAGAGCCTGTCTCAAAAAAAACAAAGACAGGTTTATGCTCACCTTCCAGAACCTGACTCTGTGGCATATCTAGAAAAATAGCAGTGCTGCAGAGCTGCAACCTTAGTTCGAGCCCTCCTGCCGCAAGGACAGTTTGCTTTGCTTTGGTCCCTCCTGCTCTCCCTTTCCTAATGGCTGTCGCTCCCAGAGGACCCTTCTTGCCTGGGCCTGACTGTCTGTGTGTGTAGAGGGAATAGATGACTTGAGACGCAGCCAGGGACTAGTACTTTCCTGCAGGGAGTGTGTAAACTGTCGCTTTCCGAGGGGCTGGGTCCGATTTCCAGTCATCAGCTTTTTCTTACCACCTGTCATTTTCGTCGTGGAAATGTAAATAAATGCTTAGACCTCTTGCTCCTGGAGCTAAACTCCTGAAAGCCAGGATTGAATGGTGGTTTGCGGTATGATGACTGAGGTGACTCAGTGACGCCTGCCCTTGTCACAGCTCCTTCCCGGCATCTCTGAGGTCGCCTGTCCTGAGATTCTGCACACTGGGAAACACAGGGCCTCCTCGGCCCCTTCCTTTCAGGGAGACGCTGTCGCCTGCTCCCACCAGGACAGTCAGAAGTTGCGAGGTCACAGAGCTTTTCCCCTCTGTCTGGCAGTGATGCAGACCCCGGCTCTAGGCAGTGGCCCGAGTCCGACACGCTGTCCGGCTCCCAGTCCCCGCAGTCGGTGGGCAGCGCGGCCGCGGACAGCGGTACCGAGTGCCTCTCGGACTCTGCCATGGACCTGCCCGACGTCACCCTGTCCCTCTGCGGAGGCCTCAGCGACAACGGGGAGATTTCCAAAGGTAGGCGGGCGGCCTTCCGGCTCCGCCTCGGAGCAGCCTGTGCACGGTGAGGACCGGCCTGTGGCTGCGGGGTCTCGTGCAAGTGTCACGACATCCCTGGTGGGAATGGGCCCGCACCCTCTGGATGTCGCCTAAACTTTACCATCCTCTCGTTCAGCAATGGCCGATGTTCCCAGCAGCCCCGTCTGCGGGCCGGGCCCTGCCCTCTTTCCTCCTTCCTCCTTCCTCCTTCCTCCTTCCTCCTTCCTCTGTGGCGTCTCCACATGCTAATTATGCCTCTCTTCTCGTCTCTTTATTCCGTTTCTTTGCTTTATATCTTATAGAAATTAATGGTGTATTGTGGCCACCAGTTCCTTCTAGGAACAAAATTAAATCGGCCACGGTCTTTTTAGAATCCTCCCAAACCCTCAGTTTAAAAATTTCTAGG